CCAAACACACTTGTTCTCAGCGGGATGCTCAAATCCACCCTAAGGTCATCTCCCGGTCGTGGACCTGCCGCCCGCCGCCGTGCTCCTGGCCCGGCCCCTCCACCCCTCCCTCCTCCCCTCCCTCCACCGGCACCCCCGAAAAAGGTCTCGAAGATGTCACCCAAATCGACTTCGTTGAAGCCTGCCCCACCTCCTCCACCAAAGGGAGAACCGGCCCCTCGCTTGACCCCCGCCTCGCCAAACTGGTCGTACAGCTGTCGTTTCTGGTCGTCGATCAAGGCCTCGTACGCCTCCTTGATGCCCTTAAACTTCTCCGAAGCGTCCTCCTCTTTGCACACGTCCGGGTGGTACTTCAGGGCCAGCTTGCGATAGGCCTTCTTAATATCCTCCCGTTTCGCTGATCGTGTGACACCGAGACGCTCGTAGTAATCGCGAGGAAGGGAGGAAGCGAAAAGGCGGGTGGAGGGGCGCAGGAGAGGGGAGGTGGAGCCAAGAGGGGAGGTGAAAGGCTTTTGAGCAGACGAAAGAGGTTTTAAAGACACGCGGAAAGGTGAAAATACAAATGCGAGCGCTCGATGACTGCAGTTGAAACAGTCAAGGGTGCATAAAGCGACGACGAGGAAGAAGAAGAAGGAGAAATACACTCGTCCTCCCTGTCGCTGCCGCCGTGATCCCACCAGGGGCTGATGTCTTCTCATTCTGGCGCTTCCTCCCCCAAGTTTTCAACCTCGTCAACGTGATTCTTATCTGCTAGAATCTGTCAATAGGATACCGGCCTCCAGCTGCGGCGGCTCCGCTAATTTGAGCGCCCACTGCCACGAGAAGCTAACGAGAGCCTGGAGGAGGCAGGAGAAAGCCCATCGAGAGCATAGTTTAGAGAGAAATCGCAATGAGCAGGGGAACCAACAACTGCCCGTGCCAGCGAGCGCGACATTCAAGACGCAAGGTGTGTGTGCATAAGTGCGCGTGTCAGTGAGCAGAGCCCGCGTGGTTTTGACTCGATGAGGTGGCTCCTCGCTCTGCGGCTATCAAGCGAGCAGGGGAACGATGACGTGACTCGGCCGCGATAAGGAACATATGAACGGATCGACTTCCCAGCGCAGGACAGCAACCTTTCTCGGCACAGTCTGTGGCCTAGATCTATTCAGTGTGATGCAAATCTTTCAAACGTCACAAAAAGGGGACGTGAGTTACGCAGCTGCTTCGGTTGTGTGTTTGGTGGTAATAATAGCCTGTCTTACAAGTTGAGCCTCTCTATCCCAAGACGCCGGGTACACTTCATGAAACTCAGAAGACAACAAAATTAGGTCAAGAACTATCCCGTTCTACCCTCGTTGCTCCCAATATTCGGCCTTTTCTTTCGTGGTCCATTCTGAGATTTGAATTATTTTGTCACGAGTAGCTAACCATCAACATGAAAAAGTTGTTCCGCTTCTCGCTTCCCCCTCTTGAATTTCTTCGAAACAAGCTCACTTAAAGGCAGAAGACATACAACACAATGCAAAAAAGAACATGTTCCGTAGATGTCTACTCTTTCCCTTCCCCAAGGTTGGCTGTTACGATTCGTCCTACGTCTGCCCCCCGTAATTAAATGAATATAGCCTGAACGCTCACAGACCCCACGTACAGCAAAAGGTAGTAAAACAACTCCCACTTGCTTGTTCCACTTTGAAATTGCATAGCTTTGACGACAATCAGCATCCCCAGAAAGAATTTGGACTCGCCGCAAGCCCAGAGTCTCTCACGAAGAGAGCTCATCAAGTGGCACCGGTCACTCCCAAAGCATTACTTTGTCATGTCTTTAAACTGTTACGAGGTTAACAAATTGGTAGCAGTAAGAATATTGCTGATGGCAGATATTTCATCATAACGCTGTTGGAATTAATCGCGGATTCCCTTGAGCCAGAGCCGTCACTTACCTTGTCTGCCACCGAGTGAGCACCCCCGCTAATAGCGGCACCCGCCTTGTCGAGAGAGGGTTTGGCGGATTCGTAAGTCTGTCTCAAGAAACATGAGGATGCGCAAGTGTCTCAGGGAAAAGAACGTAATGTCCAACATCGTTGCATTACGAGATACCCGCGACGGTCATCATTCTTCGATTATTTGGCACTTTTTCTCCTACAATATCCAAAGTCATGTCTTGAAGCGCAGTATTCCACGCATTTTGGCTGAGCTAGGACCCAAGTCAAACCAGTGTCTTTGACGTACCTGGTGGGCAACCTCCCCAATCTTGTCCGTCGCCGGCTTCAGCTTCTCGCCCACACCCTCGGCAAAGTGCTTCACGTCTTCACCAGTGTTTTTCGCTTTCCGCGCTATAATGTGCGCGGCGTCACCGCTCTTGATATCTTCCACCGTGTTTGTCGCCTTGCGGGCAACCACGTGGGCCATGTCGCCGAGTTTAGCTATGGGATATGTTAGGTGGCGTGAGAAAAAGACGTGCTCGATCACAACCTCTGAGTAAGCTGGCTAGCTAGCTTTTCTTCATTTAGTTGTCAGCATGCAGTACTGGTGAGGAAGAGAGAACAGAGATGACGAGTAAAGAGATGTGCGCGTGCCCAGCAACAGAGAATATCTTCACCGCAAAAATACAACTATCGCGTCCGTCTACTCAAGCTTTTAGCATTGGGGACAAAATTTTCAGCCTTGCTATCCTTGTCATTACAACGGGAGGATTGGCCTTATTTCAGAAGTTATCCATCCATGTTGAGTGCTTTAGCGCAGTGTTCTGATGCAGTCACCTCGCTCTCATGCTTGTTCTCACAGGGACCCGAGTAACAACTTTTCAATCCGCGTGCAGGCCCCTACCACCTCCAGGCTTGTCGCACGCACCTTTTAAATCATCCATTGTTTAGAAAATGCTTTATATCGGCGGTCTGTTTACAAGTGGTATTTGTGAATGAGGAAGGACTTCGAGTAACATGATGCCGTATTAAGCGGTGTTTACCGACGGCGAAACATTGTAAGCTGACTTGCAAGCTGCCTCGCGCATAGCACAACGGTATCCTAATGGCCCTATAACTTTCTCTCTCTGTATTGTCCTTTCTTTTTGATACGCGACTTAAAGATATGCTTTCTCCTTGAAGTAGCCGCCTGATGTTCTCTTTTTTCGTGCGCAGATGCGTACATGTTGCATTTCCTCAAACCCAGGAAAACTGCTTCTCATCCGCTGCAGATTTAATCAGCAATGCAAGCGCTTAAATACCCTCCACAAAGATGATAACTATGAACAGCAAATGCGTGCGACGCTCGGTGGCACACTCGTCACGTCCGCCGCGTGAGTGCAAGTACCGTGCGCGTCTGTTCCCCCGGGAATAAATAGCCAGCTGACGGCTCGGCTGGATGGGTCCTTTTCCATCACATCATCACTTGGGCTGTCTGGTCCTCATCATCCCTTCGGCGGGTCTTCTTTCCATCACATCATCGCAGCATCATCATCGATACAATTTGTATAGCGGGCAGCGATTTGCATTCCTTGTTCAAAAAAAATGTCGGCAGTCTGCGAAGGAAGGAACAATCATTGGTATCCATTGCAATGCAATTTGAGTGGTGCTTAGAATAGTTCAAGCGCAAAGCATTTGGCGCTACAGGTGGCGAACACTTGCGCGTCATGTCTCGCAAGTCTCGATGCCTATTGCCTTACACTGTCAATATGTCTTTCCATGATCACTCTTTTTCTCGATGTACCTACTACGTGCAGAACGGATCTAAATTGCTGATGATCCATGGATCGAAACCAGCCTTCCCGGGTACAATTTGGCCGGGGCTCGGCTACGAAGTTTGGTAGCGGCCAAGCACATGCCCACCAGCAGCAGCACGAA